GCAGGAACCTTGATCCACTTATTCCAGCAAATAACTATTAATTTAAAGATAATAGACTGTGTGTGAAACAAATGGGGCAAAGCTCCATCTGGAGCATCTAAAAAAATTTTATTTATTTATTTCAAGAAAAGATTACACAAAAGTTATTTCTACAATGACTACCATTTATAATTGTATTATTCAGGCTCTTATACTTAATAAGTTCTTTAAAAGTGTTTTTAGACTCCAACATTTTGAGGAAATTAAGTATGATCATTTTTTTCTTTCACCTCCTGGAAGAGGGCAAAGCAGCCTAAAGGTACCGGTGCTATTTTTCTGATGACCTGCCTCAAGAAAATGGAAATTCTTGTTCATTTGGGTTCCATACTCAAGATACTTGAATGCCTAACTTAACTGGAGGGTCTCGGTTTCTTGAGTGATGGAAACTGTTATCCAGAGCTGCACATGACCCCGGTGCCTAATGTATTCCAGAGGAGACAGTGGACCAGTTACTTCACCTTCAAGTCAAGGTAACAGAACAAAAGGGAATCCTAAGGCCCTTTTTACAGTTGCTGGCCTTAGGCACCACCATGAACGCCCTTTATCGAAAAAACATCTTGATCCTTCTTCCATGAACTGCATTTAAAATGAAAAGCCTTTATTGTGACCAAACAGAACACTGTAACAGATGACATACTGAAAACAAAAGTTATTTATTTGACCAAGATGATTACCATTAAGGATTCTTTTATAGAGCGTCACATTGAAAAAGCAAATTTTAAACATTGCATTTAAAAATGTTTCTGATTTCTTAAAACCCTATGTTACAGGTATTACTTGTGCACTGAACAGATAATGCCAGATGGAAATCTGTTATTTATGGCATTTCCCATAATAGCCTTATTCTTTATACATTGAGCATGTTCCCTTTCTTTCTAAAATTATTAAGGGGTTGAAACAAACGCAGGCCTTATACTAAAGTGTTCTCACCCCTTCTCTTCCCTGTCTTCTTTTCTCTTTTCTGCCACAAAAAGTGAAAAATAAAACCTAACACTTCTCACCCAGTTTTGGAGTCACTGAAGGGACCAGTGCTTCTCCCATCTCTCCATCCCTGGAGGTTACAGAGCTATGACCCTGGCTCTGCCCTTAAGGGGGTGACAGCCTGGCCAGCGGACAGTCGACACAGAAAGGTGGATAAGGTATTAAGTAATGAACAGGTGCCAAATGAGTGCTGCAAATCTTCTCTTTGGGACTGCAGTTTTCACCAAATTTCCTAAATCTGTTTGTGAAGGCCACATCCAGTACCTTCTAGAGGGTGAATCATTTGGTTCTTGTGCAGAAACGGAAGCAGCCTTTTTTTCAGCCCCCCAGGCAGCTGTGACCCTCTGACCCGAGCTCAGGGCCCAGCGTGGCTTTGTCAGTCATACTCTGCAAAAGCTTGACATCTTACATCCCAGTACCTTACCTGTCAAACACAAAGACCACTGGTGGTGTCTCTTCAAATAGTAACAGACAGAACAAAAACAAAAACATTTTTTTTTAACAAGAGGTTGTTTTAAAGTTTCAGGGAAAGCTGGTGGCTGATTTAGGGTTGTTTGTGCGGGAAACCTCCTTCAGGTGTAAAGCAAGCATCTCTGTTTTGAGTTGCTGGGATTGGGGGCTTTGAAGGAACACAAAATCAGGGCCGTTCTAAGCTCTCAACGTATCCCCTTGAGCTCCAGGAGGCTAGCTCAAGATGGGAGACGTTACATTCTTGCTGTGTTCTTCCCTGGCTTTTAGTATATAAGACGACATTTCCCCTTGTGGCCTTCAACCAGCCGCTCAGAAAAAAGAGACTTGTGTGGAAGTTTTTAAGGAGGAGCTGGAGACAAGAGTTTGGAGAGGCTTTGTTGGAAAGTTTCCTGTTGCCCTGCGTTTGACAGACAAGCATCCTTACCTGACAGGAGCAGGATTTCAGAGGCGCAGGAAGAAGACCTGGCAGGAGCTCCAGAGTGGATCTGAGTGTTGTCGCTGAACATCTGTGCAGAAGTCACCAGGTGCCACTGGGAGCTGGGTGCACACGCACCAGAGAAAGCTCCGAAGGAAAAGCAAACAGCGACCGGTTATGGGAACATAGTGTCAAGGTAGCGTCAAGAAGGAACTTTTATTTCCTTCTGTAACAGGATCTGGTCTTTCTGTTCTACCCCTTGCTCTTTTTCACCCTCTCCTTTCTCCTGCGGGGTCAACATTTTAATGGTTCCTTTACCTCTCACCCCCCACTGTATTATTAGCACTTGATTCGAACCTCTTAATATTTTTTTCTTTTTGTCCCTTCTGTCAAGCAGTTTTCAAAAAGAAAGGCAACAACTATTAAACTGAATTTCAGTGAGCCAGCCAGAAGGATCTCTAAATGGCTAGTCCTACTAGAGCCACCTCATCCGGAAATAGATGGGAAGCAGATAGTGTGTCTGACTTGGGCTGGAAACCAATGGGCACCATTTTTAAAATGGTGTTTAGGTGAGAGTGGATCCTAAGAGCCAGCTGGTCGAGTCCTAACCCTTCCTCTCTCCCTGGTCTCGGCCTGGTCACTGAACCTCTGGTCCTCTTTGCCTCATATGTAAGATAGAGCTGTTTTATCTAATTGATAAGACAATTGTGAGGTGCCATGGTTTCTTGGCTGCAGAGACTTTGAAACCCAAAAATAAAGGCCAAAGTCAGTGGATCTATTGGAAGACTCACTTCCCAGCTTGTGGTCTTAAGTCACATCAAAAGAAACAACGTGGCCACGTCCAGGGGGCATTGCTGAACTAGGTTATACATCAGGTAGACTGCAGGGAGCTAATCCGTCAACATGGGGAGATGAAACACAGCCAAAGGCCACAGAAACCAGAACTCCATGTGTATAGAGCACCAGGTTCCCACCTGGGTGTGACTTGTAGCTTACACGTGCCCCAGTGTGATTGGACAGGCTTATAAGTAAGACGCCACCAAAAGCGAATTGACTACTTCACTTAGCCCAGTGGCTCTGTGCCTACAGTACACGTACCCTGCACGATGATGTTGGAAACCTTGCATTTATTTCCCACCAGTATTTTTTTGGATACAAGGGGTATGTGAAACTTACCGTCAGTGAAATAGGGAAACTGTGTTGAAAAGCTGGTTATCCCCCATGGAGCGAAGACTGGCCAAAGGTAATAAAGATACACAGGGACACAGGTGTTAATAATAGGCACTTATTTTCCAGGTGAAAATGTGCTTTAGGAACAGCTCTGCTTAGATGGTCTGCACCATTTTCAAGTCTCGTCTTATTTAGAACTGCTGGGTTCTGAGATGACTGGAAACACGAGATGTCTCTCCTCTTGCAGGCTGATAAATAGTTCCCATGCGACTGATTCTAAGTTTTGTGGGATTTTTAAATTTGTTCTGGTGAGCATAGTGACTGCGGAGGTCAGGGTGGTGGGAAGTTGGGCTAGTATTCTTTCTGTAAAGTCAGTTAGGGTTCCATCCCTGTGGAGTAACACCGAACGTCACTCTCTAAAAGCAACAGCATGTAAACTAGAATGAAAGAAGGTAATTATGTATGTATGCTTAATATTCTTTGTGAATGTCTTTCACTGAACTAAAATTATATTAGAAACCAGATTGATAAATAAAAAAAATCCAAAATAGTTTTAATTATCCTAAAAGTGATTCTTTGTGTTTTTGTTCCGCTCGATTCTCTAAGAAGTCATTTCCACCCTTCAGCAAAGAAAGTTCCAGGCACTGAAACATACACTTCTTTGGAATATAATCTTTCCGAAAGCTGTGGGGATGTGGTCCTTCCTCGAAGGCAGGTCTTACATGGCGGCATCCATGGTTAACCTACTTTTGCCACACAATCCACCCCTCCCCCGTGTTTCTTAAAGTAGCTTAATGGATGTTGGCCTCACAGTTTGGATTATTTTACACACAGCTTGATAAAATGTGGTTAGAGTTAAGTGATTTACAGGATATATTCTGAGCCTCATTTGGGATGAGGGAGTAACACGGGATAATGGACAGATGTGTCCAGGCCAGTGAACTAGGTAACAGGGATTTACAATGGGTCCAGAGGGGCAGATCTTTCTAGATGCACTCTGGACATTAAGAGCTGTGGTCTTCAGTTATTCCTCCCATTTTCTGGCCTTCTGTTACCATGGGGAAGCCATTTCCTGCCGATCAATTTTCAGTGAAGCATTTAAATGTACACTGAATACATGTGAATTTCAATTAAAAGCGCGGCCTTTCTGTTCTTCAGCAATTCCCCAGGCCAGTCAATAGCAGCGTCACTCCCATCTATTTCAAAGGTGTTATGCCAGGAGGGTCTTTGTCATGATTCTGCTTTTAGAGTGTGATCCAACAGGTGTGAGGGGAAGGTCAGAAAGTCCTTGGAGAAAAGAAAATCAGCACTTAGAAAAGTTCATAATAAATTTTAAAAGAATGAGCCGGCAAGTTCAGGATCTACCACCTGCAACCAGAGCATGGGAGGCACAACGTGTTCCCTCCCCTCCCCAGTCCCGCCAGCCACCAGCCGTGTGGACACCAAGGTCAGCACATTCTGGGAAGGCAGCGGCTTTATTCTGCACGAGGCAATCTTTGTGACATGAGTGGGGAGCAGGGAAGCAGAGGAGGATAGAAGGAGTGGTTGCGGGGGCGGGGTACAATGAAAGAACATCCAATTTTAACCTCTGTCGGGGATGACACGGCCTGAGGGACTTACCAGAACACAGAAAA